ATTGAGAACGTTAAATCTAAAACTGAAGAAATGAACACAGAAATGTATTAGAAATGAAGAAAATAAGTGTTCTTTGCTATCAGTCTAGTAATTTCGAAATATACTCGCGTTTAGATATTGAAATCGTTATTTTTAACTATTGGTTCATAAATTTAATTTGTAATAACAGTATTATGTTAAATACACGTATTTTAAAATTATACGTCGAAAAAAAATTCCTTTCTTTCTCTTGAAAATTATAAAATAGTTGGTAATGAGTTGTAAGGTTTTATTGAATAATATTTTTAAAATTTCATATTGCTGATAAGAGTCGCTGACAAGATGTCTCGTGAAGTTTTATAAGTTTCAAATCAAAAGTTAAGACAAGTAGAGTTAATTTAAGATACAGTTCTTTAAGTAAAGTTAAATTTGCTAATTGTAAATTCAGTCAAGTTAAATTAAATTCTGTGAGGCAAATCGAGTTAAGTTTATTACGTCAAGTTAAGTTAAATTAAATTCAAATTAAGTTACATTAAATCAAATTAAATTCACCTAAACTATTTTTAGGTAATTATCTTAAGTAAACGTTAAGCTCCTTAAGCAAAGCAAAGTTAAGTTAGTTAAGTTAAGTCAAATCAAGCCAATTTAAGTTCATTAAATCGTCTCATTAAATTAATTTAGTAAAGTTTCTTGATTCGTCTTAAGGTTTCATAAGTTAAGTTATGCCATTCAGAAAATATCTTTCGTCAGACGAAGAAAGACGAAAGTATCCTAAATCTCAACAATCCCCGTCAAACCATAACATTAAAACACACAAATGTAAAGAACTAAAGTAATATTAACATCGACAAAAATCATTTTAAATTCAAGACGAAATGAATATGCATAAGAATTAATAATATAATACAACAAAATGTTACATAAGGGATTAATGAAGGATTCACACTAAATCTACTGCCCCATAATGTATACATATTTTAAAAAATATACATACAAATGAACTTGCAAATAAATAAACAAATGCTAAATTAATTCTTCACCTTGAAAATCAACATATGTTTCAAGCAAACCGCGTCACCAAAATAAGAAATTTCTAAAACAGTTTAACGTTAATAAAAATAGAGATTATCTAAATTCGTAAAAACTTGTAATCTTGAAATACGATGCAAGTTTCCCAGCGATAATAACCGAATAATTGTTTATCCCGTAAATCGACGGCGCCGAGTGGGAATAGCCCTCGAAAACACTTCGGACGAAAGGTTAACGCGTTAGGGTAGGGGTACACACGTGGAGGAGGAGGATGGTACACACGTGGAAGGCAGCCGAGGGAGTAGGAAAAAAAAGGTGTACGAAAGAAAAGGCCGGCCCATGGTAGAGTGGGGTTAGGATGGCACGTAGTCAGTGAGTTAGGGGTGAGAGTGGGTGATAGTAGGTGGTAGATGTCTAGTTAGCCAAGACACGTTGACAAGTCGTCGTGCCAGCATGCCAGCAGCACTCTCCCTTAGGACTTATCACTCGAAGATCGACAGCTAATAACCAAGTGGACCACAGTCAAATTTTCTCCAGCCGTTCCAATTTCTTTTCGAACTCTTCAAGTGTGTTTCGTGAAATATTCGTGGTGCCATGTCTTCTCGTTGCTTCAAAGTCAGACTGAAACCGGCATCGTTGTGAAGTGTCAGTGAGAAGATGAAAAATCTGTACAAGAATAGGAAGAAATAGAACTTGTGATTGAACTCCGAAGATGAGTTGTGGATGTTAAGGTGATAACCGTTGTTCCAAGTGACAGTAGTTTGTTCGCGATTTGTGCAACGTGTTTCCGGATAATGGGACTAAGGATCATCTTCGAAGACGGAGAACGGAATCACGTGGGAAGATGCACATGGTTTTGAGGCTATGAATGAAAGTATCTGGCAGATTTTCTGCAGAAGCCTTTAGAGGAAACCGGCAGGTCTTCCAAGCCATAAAGGTACTTCTATACGCGCCGGTCCATATGTACGTGCATTTTCCTTTCACCCATTCATAAAAACTCATTCATGAAATTCGCAGAATTTTTGTTTGTCATATTTTTATAGCACGAGATGGAGATGCAGGTTCGTTGTTTATTATTCCATAGGAATTTTAGTGACGATACCGTTATGATGTACATTTTTTCATTGTGAACGAAGCTTATTGGTTTTAGTTTGTTAGGTTGATACATCATTCACTTTTAATATATTCAAATTTTAGTGACGATAACGTTATTGTAATGTACATTTTTTCATTGTGAACGGAGCTTATTGGTTTTAGTTTGTTAGGTTGACACATCATTCATTTTTAAAATATTCGAGATATTTTTGATACATTAAAATTATTTAGATTTAGATATGTACTTTATAATTTACATAAGAGCTAATTTTACTGGAGGATATTCATAATCAGTAAATTAATTTCGGAGTTTAATATTTGGAAGTCGGGTATTTTGTTAGCGTGTTACGATTTAATTAAAAAAGAATATTTGTACGTTGGTTGCTGAAAACTGCCAAAGATAGTACTTATTTTATTACTCAATTGTAGTATTCTACTTTTATCTTATATTAGTGATATGATACTAATGAAAAAGTCTAGTATCGACTCAATTTAATATTAATTAATATTACTTAATATTACTCAAGTTTAATATTATATTTCATATTTATATTAATATTATAATACTGATGACCAAGTATGATATTCCTTTAATTATTCTATTTCAATATTTTGTTTTACCATATGTTATCTTTATAATACATTTTTCATCGTGCGATTACTAGAAACATTGATTAATAATTAATTATTTCAAATAATTAGTTTAATCTAAAAATTATGTATCTAGTAATTTCTTCTAGTAACTCATTTTGAAACTGATAATGCTGAGAGTGTGATAGTCCCCTAAACCGTTAATGTGTTATTTACAGCATTATTGTATATGGGAAATATAAATATTTGTTAATGTCAAGATATATTTTTTAACTGATTTGACATTAAGTTGCATAAATTGAATCAAGTTGACATAATCAAGTTGCAAAAATTGAATTCGTTTTGCACCAATATTACTCTGTTGTTGCATTGTACTGCAATATACTATACATATAAAACAGTATATGTAATTGAAATCTTTGTACTTTGTTAAACAATAAGTTGCAAATTGTATAATCAACAAAATTATTTAAAGTATCTCTTATTTTTCATAGTTACAATTCATAATTTATAGTTTATAATTTTCAATTTATAATTTGCAACTTACAATTTACAATTTATATTTTATATTATAGAAATCATAATTCACAATTCACAACTCACAACTCACAACTCACAACTCACAACTCACAATTCACAATCCACAATCCACAATCCACAATTCACAATTCACCATTCACAATTCACAATTCACAATTCACAATTCACAATTCACAATTCACAATTTACAGTTTACAGTTTACAGTTTACAGTTTACAGTTTACAGTTTACAGTTTACAGTTCACAGTTCACAGTTCACAATTGACAATTCGCAATTCGCAATTCGCAATTCTCAATTTACAATCTACAATCTACAATCTACAATCTACAATCTACAATCTACAATTTACAATTTACAATTTACAATTTACAATTTACAATTTACAATTTACAATTTACAATTTACAATTTACAATTTACAATTTACAATTTACAATTTACAATTTACAATTTACAATTTACAATTTACAATTTACAATTTACAATTTACAATTTACAATTTACAATTTACAATTTACAATTTACAATTTACAATTTACAATTTACAATTTACAATTTACAATTTAAAATTTATAATTTACAATTTACAAATTATAATTCATAATTCATTTCAGTGTGTTTTCAAATCATTATAAATTTTCAATATTACATAATTTTTCTTTAAACAAATTTCATTAATAGAGAATAATGTTATTTCCCTACCATTTTTTCAAACTTGAAGACATCATGCAACGAGGGGTCAACATAAACCTTTAAATGATAGAACCTACCTCACAGTCTTAATTTAATTTCAAATTCTCTACATTTTATATTATTTCTTTATATATCATTGTTGCAATACAATGAAAATCTTCCATTCACAGAATCTGATAATAGATATAAATTTAAAAACTCACATTGCAAGATAATATTTAAAGAAACAAATAAATGTAACAAAATAAAAGTAACGTAAGGTACAAAATTAAACCTAAATTTATCAAATGAAATTTGAACATTGGAAACAAATAAAACTGTAAGTGCCGAAACTATCAACTTTCTGTTTATCAAAATATTTATTATCAAACAATACCAAACGTTATTACGAAAAATATGAATAACTAAAACAACTCTTTCATCTACATCTACAGCTTCCATTTTACTGTTCATAGAAACATCCCTGTAAAAATAATAATCTTCCACAGAATGGCACTTACAGCTATTCATTTTCTATTCCCACTCTTCAATTATCTATCAATGATTCACCATTTTCCTTCTTCTTTTCTATACCTATTCCTTCAGTCACTCTATCTAAATAAAAACAACTTCTCCAAAAATCCTTAATTACAATAAAACACTTAATTACAACCCCAAAATAAACTATGAATCCCAAATCATTTTTCCAAATATCTTTCACTATTTCCAATTTTTCACTAAAACACCTCAAAACTAAAAAATACATGCATTAAAAAATATCCAATATCAAAGTAAAATTAAAAAATTACTTACTCGATTTTCCATAATCTCGCTCCCACGATGTATAAAAGAATGCGGCAGCATCGTAAAGCAAGTTTCTATGAACAAGATGCACCGATAATTAAGTTGAATGGAAAAAATATGACACAAGATATTGATAAAGATGTCGGATGGCATACTCACGAAGCAATGTGCGGTTGCCAGGGCAACCGGAGGGGCTGGACCGCGTCTCTACAGAGAAGAGGCAATCCATCCCTGTATTTCGCCGGGAGGCGGGGGTAGGGGGTGTCTCTAAGGGCGGCTGCGACCAGAAAATTCGCAGAGATGGAGTTTCTGCAGAATCATCACACGGTGAACACCTCCGAACCACCGTACACCCTCGGTACAGGTGAGTCATAGTGTTCTCCTTCGCCGAAAACATGAAGAGTCCAGGTGAAAATCATAGTCTATTCTATATAATCTAATTTCTGCTTCGCGTGTTTGAAACAGATAGAAAACGGTGATATATTAAGAGGAAAATCTGAGATAAGAATCTACAAATTTTTACTATAAGATTGAAAACAATCAGGATTCATTTTAAAGAAATCGAAATTATGCTTCGCGTGTTTGAAACAAGTAGAAAGCGGCGATATATTAAGAGGAAAATCTGAGATAATCTACAAATTTTTAATATAAGATTGAAAACAATCGAGGTCGATTTTAAAGAAACAATACGAGCGATACATAGTAAAAGAAACTAACAGTAATGATAAGAGAAAAAGTCGGAATTAAGATTTAATAAATTGATCACAGTAAAATAATAATGGTGCATTTCAAATAAATAGCTCTTTAGTATTGCATGTAAAAGATTAAAAAGAAATCAAACGGTGGTATGTTGAGAAAAAAATGGGAGCTAGTGCAAGAAAGTTAAGGCATTAAGTTCAACGTTTTCTACGTATAAAATAATCTCGGTCCATTTTAAGTAAATAATAAAATAATAAATTGTAATAATTATTTTAAATAAATAATAAATAATAAAAATGCCTTAACTTAGAAATTAAAAGAAGCTAGCAAACTAATTAAAATATAAACAAAATTGTATGATTGAACAAATTTTATCAATAGATAATATCAAAGAAAATTAACATTCAAAAATGTTATAAGCTCGGAAGTTTGACAATTTTGTAATTTACCTGCTCCAAATATGCATTCATCACAAAACATCGAAAGACACCCATAATGATTTTTCTTTAAAAGAAAAATTTCCTTCAAAAGAAAAACTTTTTCTTTTTCGCATTTCTCTTTTACTGAAGTGTTTTTAAATCCCTAGGTTCGGTAGGAAGCATCGAGGCCACCATACCTTCCGGCCTCTGTGCTGGACCTCTTGGAGTATTATCCAACGAGGACACCCTAACAGATACCCAGAACGAGGAGACTCTGGGTGCTCTGCAGGGCACCCTTCGTCTGCAGGATCTGCAGAATTCGCCGGAAGATATCGGGGCCGATCAGACACAACAGATCCAAAATTCTGGACAAAATCAGGTGGTCAGCGAATTTGGGGCCAGTTTCTGGGTGGACGACATGGCTGGATTTCCATTGCCACCCTTGGATTTGGATCCCTTACCGCCTGGCCTTTTTAGTCCTTGTTCTGGAACCTATAAGTGAGTTGCAAATTATGTTCCTTGTGTTTTTCATTTCAATTTTTGTAAACAAAAGGATGTATTATAGCAAAAGTTATTAAGGGTGAATAAATTTGATTGCAATTTTTATTTTGAATTTTATATGTATTGGATTTATTGTTTGTGGTGCATAGTTGCAAATTCAGTTGAAAGATTTGGATTATTGTCGATTTTTATTGATTTACTATTTTACTACTTCATTGTTTTATTATTTTACTAGTTTACTAGTTTATTATTTTATTGTTTCATTATTTTATATTATATTTTTACCATTTTGTGACCAATTGAACAGAAAATTTGTATTTGTTAAGTAAAAGATTTACAAATTTAAAAATTTTTGAACCAAAAAATGTAGAAATAAAAAGTTAAAAAACTTGATACTTGCAACTTTTAGAATTTGAGAAGCGGAAAATTATACTGTATTCCATAAAGCGTACATGTGTCTGACCAATGTTTGGCTTCGCTACTTGCTAGCACTAGTAACAGCCCAATCCAGTTTCATATTTATTAGTTTAGTTTTAGAATGAAATTTTAACGATCATCTACACGCGTTATCTGTAACATTACACCTATTATTCATTAAAATATTACTGCTGTTAACAATAAAAATATATTTTCTAGCATGGAAGTAGAATATTTAGTAAAACTACTTTTATATTAGCTGAATTTTTGCAACTGTACATTTTTTGTCTATAAAATTAAATTCGAATTGTTTTCTATATTTAAGGACTAATATTAAAACTAATTTTAACTAAGAACACAAAGAAAATTTGATTTGATTGTTAAAGAAAAATCACCTAACATGCACCTAACTAAAAAAATAAAAATCTCAATTAAGAACGTTATTATTGGATAATATATCACTGTGTATACAATATAATTATTATATTATTGTACACTAAAATTTCAATATACCTCCAAAAAATAAGATATTCTTCGGTATACTAGAAGGTAGTATCACATTAACATTTTCATATAAACGTCAACCTATAGATAATTTGAGACGCGAAGAGGCGTGTAGTATAAAAAGAAAGTATTAATTTTAACGCTGTATTCGATGTACCTTGTAATTTTTAAGTGTCCTTGCAGTTGGGGTTGCACCAGAGGCGAATGTGCTCCAAGGACGAGCAACGCCAACGGAGAAGGCGTCGCGGATGTGTTATTATCCTTGAAACATGCGGTGGTTCATCCCGGAAGTCCTACGGGAGGATATTACTCCACGGGAGGTTCAAGTCATCATTATTCCCAGGATTACACGCAAAATCTTGGACCTCCTGTGCCACCCACTCATTACACTTCCACTCCAGCCATGTCCGTCAATGTTTCCATGAACATGACGATGAATATGAACATGCACTCCGGGTAAATAACTTTTGAGTACCATTTTTTGACCATCGTTTATTTTCAATACGTTGTATATTTTATATGACTTATCCTTTGTACATTCTTCCTTTGAGAACTTTTCAGTGTAACAATTATTATTAATGGAAATTTGCAAAATAAATTTTATGTTGTCAGACAAAGGAAATATACTTGTTACAGTTTTAGACATAATTTATTTTTGAATAAATAAGAATGTGATCAGTTAAAGACTACTTAAAATATGATCCAGGGTTACTTCATTTTCAAAATCTAATTTTTGAAGACTACAAATTTCCAAGAATCTTGTACAAAAGTTAATTATATTGTACTTAATGTAATATTATAATATTACATATTGTAATATTATGTTATACATATAACAAATTGAAATATATTGTATAATCTTATAATATATTTCAAACAGGACCCCTTACAAGACAAAGTGCAAAATTTCAGTCCAATAGGAAAACAACCCCCCGCCATTTTACTAGTGGAAGAGAGTGCGCATGTCAAAGGGATATGAAAGGGGTATTATTGAGAAAATTCGTCGACGTGTATGTGTAGGTACGAGCAGAGCTATTCGTCGGCCTGGGGCGTGGAACCCCTTTTAAGTCCCGCCCAACAGTATAATCCCGTGGAGCAGCAGACGAGGGTGAATCAACCCCCGGCCAATAGCCTGATTGGCACCAGCACCCATCCCCATTCTCATCCCCCGACACACGGCCATTCCAGGCTACAGCTGTCGAGTGAGCATGCGCTTTGCATTACCGCCTCCGGAAACCCGGTCACACCCGATGACAATGGCAGACCTAACCTCTGCAGAATCTGCGGTAAATCGTATGCAAGACCCAGCACTCTCAAGACGCATCTCAGAACGCACTCTGGGGAGAAACCGTTTAGGTTAGTTATGGTACTCGATTATATGTTACATGGGACGAAAAAATTCACAAATTCTACAATTCCTAAATTTTCATATTCACAAAATTAAATTCTCAAACGTTCAAATCCTAAAATGCCCCAATCTCTAAATCCCCCAATTTTAAAATTCTGAATGACTCAAATATTAAAAGGGCCAATGATCATGGCAGTCGAGGGCCTTATAAAATCAATCAAATATTAAAAGGGCTACCTTTCGTCACTTCCAACAATACCGCTGCTGTATCTTCACATATGGCAATGTAGCGAAAATCTACTTACTTATATCACTCTATTAAGCAATAAAAATTTATCGCTTACAACTTCACGAAATCACCGTGTATGCCCAATATCTTACGTGCCACTCTTACGTGTTGCATTGACTGTAATTTGAAGTAGTTACCAATATTTCAGAATCTAAAATATAATAAATATGTTATTGCATAAAGTATAGACTTCTAAAGTGTTACCTTGCTAGTGGCACGTATTTAAAATTTCGATCTAAAATCTTCTCTGTTTACATAATACATACAAGCATTTACAAAAATTGGGTAATTATCACTCTAAAACTTGTATCTACTTCATTCGACTTTAAAATATGTTAATAAGAAAAATACGTTATTTCATATTTCGTAATTGTGACCTTAGGTTAGGTCCAAGATTTATTTGTACATATTACAATTTCTTCTCAATTCCCAAATTATTTAATTATAACACGTCAATGTACACTATGTAAAAAAATCAGTATATACGTATATTATATACATGTGCTTTTTGATTGCACAATATTTCTTTAATTGAAAACTACTCATTCAGGCGCGGTAAGTTTCGAACGTCAAAGTAACGTCGCAAATTTCGAACTGCAAATTACCGTTTCATGTATCGATATATCGATAGACTGCAAGATGGTACTTATAATGCTTTTACAAGCGACAAATTCAAATTACGTTTATTATCAACGAAAATTTAATAACAATAATTTTATGAACAAGTCGTTAATAAGTTTATTTGTCCTTTTTAAGGTGCCATGCGTGTTCGAAAGCATTTAGTCAAGCCGCAAATTTAACCGCCCATGCGAGGACTCATTCCGGAGAGAAACCGTTTCGATGTCCTGTTTGTGATCGAAGATTTTCACAAAGCAGTTCGGTAACCACACACATGAGAACGCATTCAGGAGAACGCCCATACAGGTGAGCTTTATATATCTCTTTACATATTTTATAAATTAATAAAATTACTTTCTATATATTTCTGTTCTTCGTCTATTTTAATCAATCCAATATGTTGAGACTTGCAAAATTTCCTAGTACTTCAGAATTTAATAAAATTTCATATACTTCTAGTTTATAATATATAATACATAATGTAGATAATTGATAGTTAAGAAATATTGCATATTGGAATTATAAAAACATTTATCACTTATTGCGAAACAGTTTTATTTAAAGGAACGTACAGTAAACATAAAGGTTCGATGCTCGATTTGCAAAAGTTGCGCGCGCAAATTCAAATTTACGAGGGAAAGATGAATTTTCTTATAATATTCTATGTAATTGTACAATTATAGTATATATTGGTATATGTTACATGAAATGAGAATGCAATAAGAATTTATAAAAATTACTACAATTATTCTTAACCAAAGGAAGCACGTCGAATAAAATTGTATTCCATAAAACTTGTAATATTGGTTTACCTTTTAACTGGCAATCTTCTTTCTTCCAGGTGTCGATTCTGCAAAAAAGCATTCTCGGACAGTTCTACTTTAACGAAACATCTTCGTATTCACTCCGGCGAGAAACCATACCAGTGTAAGCTGTGTTTATTGAGGTTCAGCCAAAGCGGTAACCTCAACAGGCATATGAGAGTCCACGGTGGCTCTTTAACGTGACACAGCTCAATATCGATTATCGATAACAATCGTGTCTTACCACGATGCTGTCGAATACCTGTGATTCAACTTGGTTCGAGCTTACCTGAGAAAATGTAAAAAATAAACTAATTGCGACGGTCGATACTCTTAGAATTAGGGTGTGTTCTGTCTCCTGACTGATTTTCGAAAAATTCGCGAAACGAAACACACGCTTGTTATTTAAGGTCTTCACGTTTGGATATTTTTTTAAAACGACACACAAAGACAAGTAATTATCACAATATGCGTTATATTTGGCATTAGGAACTCATCTTCCGATAGAAAATTTGAAAACGAATTGTCGAACGCTAATATCTTAACAAAATGAATTTTGCGCTCGTGAAAAAGAGTTTCCTGATCGTTCGTGCGTGTGTGTTACCCGGAAATTGTTATAGATAGGTCAGGACAGGTTAAACAGGGTATCGCAAGATGTATACCTAACAGCATCCACCACAGCACCGTTGATTATTGTACAAATATTGTATTTATTATAATTATTATTAATTATAATATTAATGTTGCTGTTTTCACCACCTTCAAGTTTTTCATTATGTGGCTTTTTCTTTGTCGAGTTTGCTTCTTTTGTAATTAATTGTAAAACGAAGGTATTTTGGCGCCATTTAAAAAAAAAACGATCTCTCTCTTTCTATATATATATATATAATATATATAATATTCATATGAGAACTGATTAAAAACGGATGAATGAATACGTGAGTTTCTGGTGTTTTTTTTTTTTTTTCATTTTTGTTTTCTTGTAATCCCACAGCATCAGGACCCACATATTTTTCATTTCTCGTAGGAAGAAGGGAGGAAAAAGGAGGTTTCATGTTTTACTGGCTAGTTGGTAATCGAAGTGGGGTAGTAGATACTAGTTCATGAATCCTCATATTAATTTGCCTCTCTTCACAATTACAACTATATATATAAGAACAACTCTCTTGTCCTCTTCGTAGAATAGTGTCTCCTCTTCATTCGTCAAAATTCTCTCGCTCGCTCTCGTTCTCTCTTTATAATATAATAATCGTATTTATAAGTAATAATATTTCTTGACAGAAGGAAAAAAAAAGAAAACGTATGTATAATGTTTCTACGTTATGTACCCGGGTGTACAGCCGCGAGCGAAGACGAGTTGGCCCTCTTCAAGGTACCTCTCTCTATATCGGAGTTTTCTAAATAAAAGCATGCAGCTTTGTAGACCATCTCGTCCCGCTTCAGACATACCCTCGTCGTGTAGGTTGTGTGCAACTCTGGCTTCCTTTTGTTAAGGGAATGTACAGGAGAAAGCACCCCTTTCCACCCCTTTTGCTTTTGTTCTTCAGCATCTTCTGACGAACGAGTGAAATAAACAAATTATGTGAACGGTTACTTTCACTACTATTCTGAATAACGCTACAGATTTATTTGTTGGAATCTGAGTTCGTCAAAAAATGCTTAACCAGTAATAGCTACAGGTTCTCCCCTTTACATTCGCCCTTAATCGAAAAAAGCCTACGTTACACTCGAGTGTACGGTATCGTATTTCCATTTAAAAATGTATAATGTCATCTCTGTCACGCTGTGTACGTGTTTTGTGATGCTTTATGTATCATTTCTTCTTCTAAATCTCGCTCTCTCTCGCTCTCAATCGGTCTCGCTCGCTCCTACACAACGTGTCTCGTATTATTTATCGATCAAGTGTTGCTTAGTAAATCTGATCTCTACATCAGTTGGAATGGTTTTTTCATTCGCTTGAAAGCTTCGAAGCAAAAGCTCGTATGTGTGTGGGTGTGTGTAAGTGTCGTGTGTGTACGTATGTGTATGTCCCAGAGGCATCGATGAATACCAAACGATTCAGTCTATTTTTTTCTTTCGAACGTGTTTTTTTTTTTTTAAATATAACAAAAAAAAAGAAAAGGAAAAGAAAACACTTTATCTGGCATATATCGATCGCTGAGAACAAAAAGAATTAATTATCTATACATATCACTTTTTCTTTTCTTTACCGCAATTTGCGTGTCTCTCGAAAAACACGGACCACAATATAACACGCGTTCGTGCCACGACGCTTCGCGATTCGCACATCAGCTTCAAAATTGTATTTTAAAATCAGTGACCAACACCATTACCACCAGTCGTCGTCATTTAATCGACGATAGCTCAACAGCCCTCGTTTATTATTTTCTTTTTCTAAATTTGATAGATTCTCTCGAAAAGCGAAATCATACAAAAAACCGAATAGATATGTGTGTCTCTAAAATAGATTTCTTCATACTCTTAATTTCTTTTTTTTTTTTCGTTTTATTTACTTATTATCATCGCTTTCAATAATTTTTCTCAAAAAATTGTCCATTTTTCCTTCTCTCTCAATCTTCTTCACCTTCTTCTTCTTCTTCTTTTTTTTTCTTTAAATGATTTTATCTTTCGATAATATATTCCAGTGTTCGTAACATCGCATTACTTTACTTAATACAATAATTAATCATATTATAATTATCAATTAATAAAACTTGTTTCTGTTCGTACTACCTTTCGCTCATCTATTCGCTCTCTCTTTCTCTCTCTCTCTCTCACTCTCTCGCTCTCTCGCTTACTTCCGTACACGATCTCGCACACGTTCAAAGACTGCTAATCGATAAGTATATTTTTCTTCTCTGAAACAATAAGTGGTTTTTTGTCTCCTTGGAAACACAAAAATACTCTGTATCAAAACGCCACTTATCGATGTTACCTAGTTTATATATCGTTACGGATTTAAACCTCTAATGAAGATGCTGCATCAGTATTTTCTTCAATTTTCAATTTTCTTTACGGAACGTTAAGGCATTCGTTAGTGTAACTCCAAAGAAGTACAAAAATAGATGCCAACAAATCAAAGATGACACGTTTTTCTTTCTGTTTATTGAAGCAATTTGTTTTTTTTTTCTTTTTTTTCTTTTCACTATACACCCGCGCACAACGATAAACGTTCCGGATGAATATGACGTTCTCGAAAAGAAGAGGGAGGAAACGTATCGTGGCCAACAATCAATCGCCTACGAGTCATTCCATTCGAAAATATATATCTTTCATCCACTATCATTCTTTAATACACATAAAAATAAAAAAAAAGTTCCCTAACATTCAATACAAAAGATCATATATATATATATAGTTCCCTGTAACTCAAACAATCGCTTCTATATACACGCTTTATTTTCATTACACAAAATAGAAGAAAAATTTACAACCGGCAACTCGGTACCATCAATTCGATCGTAACTGAGATTTATATAAAATTACGTTCACCAAGAGTCTTCCTCCCTTCTTTTCGGAAATAGTGTCATTTTTCTTTTTTTTTGTCGGTACAATTTTACTTATCGAACCGATACATATTAGACTGGTGCACATGAAATGTTAAAAAATATACAATATTTTTCGTAATCAAAATAACTTTCATATAATTTGCTGATTACATTGTTACATCATGGTACGCTTTCTAATACCTTACGTCCCGACTATGTTTTAAAACGCATTTCAACCTTCATCCAGATAAAGGTTTCTGAATAGGCGTAAAATCGCGCAGACATAAAAATACAAAAAATTAAAAGATACGGAAGAGTAATAAAGACCTAATATTGATTCAAGGTCGTACAAAGTCCATCATTTTTTTTCAGTAATTTTCTCGTTTATAATTTCAAGAAAATATATTTTTGGATAATTAATGACAAATATTGAGTGCTAATGCACACATTACAAGAAACTTCGTAACTCGCCAAATTTAAAAGAAGCAGCTACATTTCATGTGTACCAACCCAACACCTGAATTGAAAACAAACCTTACTTTTTAATTATACACGAATATCGTAAGGCAATTGAAATGCGTCTACTTCTGCATCGACGACGACGTTCGAAAATACAATAAACCAGGCATTCGGTCGACGAAGTTCTACTCAGTACTACCAACAGTTGCGGGGAATTACCCGGCGACGACGCTTATTTGAGAATGCCCCAACGGTTACATACTTCTTCAATTTTCCTTTTTACCTTCGTCCGCATATTTTTTTCCTTTACCACAGATACGACAATATTATGTTAACTTCTGGTTTGTTTTTTCGCTTCGTTTGAGACCAGGGTTTCGTCGGAGTTTACGCAGCATTTTCATGATCTCAGAGTAAAAACATAAAAATGTATATCAGTGAGCAACTACATTTTCATTTTAATAATAAACATACTAACACTGAGAGAATTACAACGTCCACGAAAGAAACAAAGTTTGTAAAAATTACTGAAGTTGCCAAATTATAATATCTATATAATATATGCTCTTGGGAGTATGGTTCTTTTAGAAATAAAAACTAAAGAGCATGCGCGAACCCAAATACAGTGTGGCAAAATAATGTATGACCTTGCGGGAAAAACTATCATTTTCTTTCATACTTTCAAAAGAAACATATAGACGAGTATATGTATAATATCCGTATCGAACAGGGAGGTTCATCGTTTATTTATATCAGGGAGATATTACTAAATGAAAGATTATCGTATCGTAACGAAATTACAGAAATGGAATTCTACGTGGAAAATATAAAATAAAAAATAATCTGGAATTAATCGTATTCCCTACGGTTTGTTAATCCTATCGGTTGGAAGAGAAACATCGTCAATGAAACTTATACAGACATTTAGGCTAAATCCGCTTTTAAACATACTTTTCAACTATATCTGCCAGATGTTGTAATGTCACCCATGTTTGATTTGTACTCTATGACTAGCCAATGTACTTCTTGATGCTGTAGGTTTAATTACAAAAGGAAGAACTGATCATGGGCTCGAGGAACTAATTACCAATATTCGTTAATAAAAGCTTAATCGACCTTTAACAAAAAAAGAGAAAGTAAAAACAAAAATTAATCAACATCGTCCTTTGTTACAAGTTTGCGTCCTCTAAAGTCACGTGCGGTTAATTATGAAGTGATTCCGTTTCCTGTTATTTTTTTTTTTTATACAAAATTACGACACACAGAATTCTTACCCACCGTTTGTTATTTCCTCCGTTAGCCACGACATTTCATAAGCCGTCATCATTACTGCCCAACTGTATTT